ATATATGTTGGTGTTTGTAAGTTTAAAAAAACGTCTCCTGACACCAACATTTACTGCTCCAAATACTCTGGCCTCTAGTTAGTCTCGAATAATATTTACTATTTTTAAGTGACTATAACGTGTACTGGGAATAGGGATGAAAAAGTAGCCTTTTTGACTCAGGTTCAGTCCTGAGAACCTTTTTTGACACCACTGAGGCTGTTTTTCCACCAAATTACCTTTGGGTCTTATGTCCAGTTTTGTTAAAGATTCTTGGGGCTATCTAGCAAAGCACCATTGTGATCAAGGATGCGTTATCAACAGAGGGGGCTGCACAATGCACAATGCCCTGTAGAATATGACACGCCCGCTTTGGTTCCCAAGGAAAACCTGCTACTTTTTGCCTCCAGCTGGGAAGCAACTTTTCAAGTTCCAAGCCAATTTATTTTTGGTTGAAATGCTTAGAATGGTGCAAAAATAGGTGTGAAAAAAGGCCTTTGTGTGAAGCTGGTAATTGACTGAAGGTGATGGGTCTGCTTTTGAATAATGACCTATACTACATGCAGTCATATGTTACTGATAATGAACCTCAATCCCAGCTACACATAAAGTTGTTCAGATCAGTATAGTTTCTATTCACTACTGATGTCCAGTGGCCTCTGAACAAAACAGACCTGATCATTCAGCTCCTGGACAGTAATCTGAGGGGAAACACACATACCTTCAAATACGCTAATTTACAGAATCTAACTTGTTTTTAAAGTGGTTTGACAAATTCCATTAACTTGTGCATTAGAAACAATAATTAGGCTATGTCTATTATAGATCATAATGATTTTGTGTTAGAAGGGATGTGTTCTGTTGTACAACAGGACTGCATTAAAAATGTTATTTTACTCATCAGTGACTCGTAACTTTTAATAGCTGACTTTCCATTATTTGGATCACATCCGTCCATTAACATTACCTGTGAAAGCACTGTGCCAACTTGAAATCAGACGTAAAGTCTCTGAACCAGACTGTAATTAATTCCTGCAGTATGGTATGTGGTTACTCTTGTGCAGAAAATATAGGCTATATAGGAAAAGAGCCTCAAGGTTTAGTTTACCTAAATTAGATTAAAAAAAAAGAAAACAATTCTCATTTCCCCCTGGTGTTGAGACTGTTCTCCCAAGAAAAAAGGAGCATCAGTCCTTTCAACAAATGCCCAAAAACAACATGTGTTTACGTTGAAGTGACAAAGCCTACTATTACCTGCAGTAAATAGGACTCTTGTCTGTTGAACGCAAAGGAGAAAGTGGTGTGATAATATTTTAGTACCACAAAGTCCACAGAGGGAGGAGGTCGAGGTGGGTGGATGGGACAACAAAAAGGTGGACCTGAATATGGGAGACAGCTTGAATTCCTGCAGACAGTCAACACCATGGTAAACAAGTGATGACAAAGGTCCTTTAACCTGACAAAGTTTAATTTTAACTCAAACCACAATGTTTACCTAACCCTAACCGAGTGGTTCTTTTTACACAAACCATGATCTTTTTTTGTGGCTAAACTATAAATGAATAATAGATGATGTTACAAGTTGGATCTTGGAACTGTCAATAAACTTACAGTAGGGGAAAAGAAAATCTTCTTCCTAAGTCACAGGCTCCCGGGAGCCTATACAGTGCATACTTTTTGATTTCTCATGGACAACAAACAACAACAAATTGGCATTTGTTTTGTGTGTGTGTGTTTCTAGTCATCTTAGAGCACCTTGGCACTTCAATTTAATTCTGGCACAAGTGTAAGACGTCCTTCAAAGTCAACCTTTAACTTTATGTTGTCTTTTGTTTTGAGAAACACCCCTTTTCCTTGAGTATTTCTGACAATTGGGGGGGGGGTTGATGGGCTGAATATGTGATCTACTTTACTATATATATATATATTTTTTAAAGCATGTGGGAGAATCATATTCCTTTGGTAAATGGACATGGAAGAGTTGCTAATCAATGTTTTGATTTGGTGATGCCCATGTGATTTTTGTGTTCTGAGGAACTACCTCAGAGTTCAATTATAATGTTGAAGGACCATTGTACTGAGCAAGGCCTAAGGCATTGACATATGAGATCACCCATTGTTCTTTGGTTTGCTTGATGGTATGGTGACATTCTGAAAGTCTAGGAGAGAACAACCATGCCTTTGAAAAGATGGATGTACATTGATTGAGATATAATATCTTAATCTGAAAGATTCTTCTTTTAGAATTGCAGGTGAGGAGCCAGGTGTCTCCTGGCTCTTTAACTTACAAATTTGCACTCTCATTGTAGAGGCAATTACCAACATTAAGACTATAACAAGAACAGCAAAATGTGAAAAGTGGTGAATTGAATGTGACAAGATGGAATAAATTGCACCACTTAGCAGCCATTTTTACTGTTACTGATCATTAGATGACTCTACAATACATTACAGCAGCCAAGCTATTATGTTCAAGCTTGACATCCCATTTTGCATTCCCATCTACCATTCCAACGACTTTATACAACATTTGGACAGAGAAGTCAAGAGATTTCAATAGCAGTGGCTTGTTGGATGAAACTGTGTTAATTTCTCTCATTGAGGGGAAGGGGAGGAAGGTGTTCATTTTATAATTAAAGAGTGAGCATAGGTTACTTTCCAAGGTGAAGTTCTGCTGGTTAATTAATCATTGAGGTACCAGCTCTTCATTCTAACTAACTAAAGTCACATGGCTCTATTTTGACACTCTGTCAGTGTTAATATCCTGGTATTTTTACCCATAATTACCCCATAAATTAATTAAACAAGACTGTGTAACATTGGGAAAAAAAAAACCTCTTTATTAATTAAATAAACACAGAGGTGTTGGTGCTACAGCCTTATTTGCTCTAGTATGACCAGTAGCTTATGTTGGCAAATGCTCGATAGATGTTGCTGTGTATCTGACACTGTGTCATTTCACTGACTGACTTGACTCTTTACCTGTGCTACAGATACATGATGAACATTTCAATGGCTCTGTCACAAACTTAAACAAAGTATAACTATGCTGTGTTTCGCCAGCAGAAATGTTTGTTATATTTCTGCTTGTAGTCATATTCCACTTGCTCTGTCCGGTCATCTAATGATGTCTTTAAAGAAAAGGACTCAATTGAATATTGGGGAAATGATGAGGGGGTCTGCTATTATCCTGTAATATCCACTTGTGGCCACAATGGCCGCTATTCAGCTATTGCTTAAGTAACCAACACAATTTTAAGGTTTATATTTATGTAACATTTATGTTAAGTATTTTGTAATTGTAGCCTGTTCTACTTTTGTCTTTATTTTCTTGCTTTGTTTACTAGCAGTGCAAGTTGTTTTAGGTATAGGTCGATCTGGATATTGTGGCTGCACTTTATCTGCCAGTCTTGTGCTACTAGTTGGTAGCTTTAGCAAATTATCTACCTAGCCTTGGGGAAAACTCAGATCATGCACAATGCACGGGCAGAGTGCACACAGTTAGGTAGGTAGACAGGCATTAGGTCAGCCAATCATTCAGGCAGAATGAATTAAACAAATGGCTTATTACAGGCCTGCCACAGCCACAGAAAATGGGTATTGTCCTCTTCTCTTTTTTTTCAGAACATTTAATTTATTGATTGCTGTTGGGATGTAAAGAGTGTCAGCAAATATGATAAATAAATCCTAATGGAATTAAAGACAAATTTCATCTTCAGCACATGATGAGCAATAAAACATAATTATCTGAATTATACAAAAGCCTCAGGGGAAGGGACAGTTTTGAGATTTGTGAAGACCTCATGGCGCACCTGATGGTTAATTTGATGATGTAGTCGATGTGTTTGTTGAGGCTAAAGGCAATTCAAAAGCCAAAAGGGCACTCAGACCTCATACACTCATGTTAAACCACATAAAACTTGAAGAAGAAAGGGCCACATTTCAAACAAGAAGAGCTGCTCTCACAAGCTTCCTTTCAACACTATGGTAGCATAGAATGAGAGTTTCTGTCTTTGCCTCTTTTAACACCCTCAGCCTTACTTGCGTTCCAAAGATAAAGTAAATCAGAATAAGTGCTGTTTCAGTCCACAGTTTGCCACCGCAAAATGTGACACGGTTGAAGTAGAGAGAGGTGGATGTGTGTGTTAGTGGGCTGATGAATATAAATCTTGTTTCTGCACATATTTATTTATTTATTTATTTTTTATTTTTTTGCCATATGTGTGGAGAGGCTGATAATGTCCCTGTAATGAAAGTCGGTTCCGGCCGCTAACGGGATTAGAGCTGAGAAATGAGCACGCAGCATTTTCCTACAAGGTAGCAAGAGTTCTGTTTTAATAGCCCTGTGACTCGTAATTCTTTGTCTCATCACTTTTTCACGGATTGTCTCTCCGTTTTACTTGCCTGTTTATTCTTTTTTTTTTTTTTAGCTGGAGCCGTTATAGAGAAACTGCTTTGTGCATTTACAGTCAACTTTTCTTTGAGTGCAGCAGAAGACACTGTAAAAAAATCTCCCGTAATGCATTTATCCTGCTTCAGTTGTCGCACTGAAAAAACAAATGAGTAACACAAAGTTTTAATTTCTGATGTCAATACATAAATACTGATGTCTGTTAATTATTAAGAGTTAACCTTGCAAGGCAGCTGGAATTGCAATTATATCAGAAAGAAGAGAAATGAATGGCATTGAATACTTTTCTTGATGGAAAAGATATTTTGACTCTTCTTCCGAGTTTGACTACATTATATGGTTAGATGATCTGATTAGTTGAGTTGTCTCCTCTGTATCGCTGTCTAATTATTGTATACAGTCTTTATGCAGAGCACACACATACTCGCACTCTAGTAACCACTGTATGCTTTTGCCTCCCAATTAAAGGAAAAGTTTAGATTTTTCAAGTCTATCTTCATATTGGCATGCCATATGTACTTTGAGAGAGTCATGTGTCATGGTAATGCTTAAGCTTCATATTAGCTTTGGATGAATGAGAACTGTGGATTTTTTCCCCCATTCTTTACAGTCTAGTCACGGCACAAGAAGATCTCTTTATGGCCCGTATGGAGAGGAGGAATGATTACAACGACCCATAACTGTTGCAGCGTACATATGACGTGTGAGTATTGTTTTAACAGAAACTAAAACTGAGACTGAGAAGGTTTGGAAAAAATAACCCTGATGATATCACTGTGATGTCAACAGGGTTATCAGATTGGACTTGAAACCTAAAACTGGAGGTGTGCGGTTTCAAATACTTGGGCATTTAGTAGGCAGGCAGTGTTAAATGAAAGAGACTATAGTTGCATTGTGGGAAATGTAGGATCCTGTGTCTTTGGATGTTGACTCACACTTGACTTGAAAAGCCAGGATACAGATTGATAAATATATAGGATTGATTTTGCCCATTTGTTTAGTAATCTGCCTCTCATGAGTCTCAACTTTGCACTTAGAAGCACAATACTAAATCACTGCAGTGCCCCTTTTAAAGATATCGTGCGCATCACTGACACTTGTGGTTTGGAGGAGCTACTTTATATTCCTTATTGCTGTAAGACATATCTAAATAATACATTATTTACGAGGTGTTAATGAAATGATTTAAGATGTTGAAGAGGCAAGAACTTCTCAATATGAAATGAAGGATGGTCGTCCCATGTGTGTCAAGTAATCAACTAACACCCCTCAATATGAAATATATTGTGGTCACAGACTAAAAGCCCTCAGAGCATTCTTTCTGAATATTTTGGAGAATAAAAACTTAATGAAGCAAAGCTTTTCTCATTAGTTTACTGTTCTTTTTACTGCTTTCTATGGTTTTAAAGGGCAGTTAAGAAATTTGTGGGCAGCTTATGAATTTATACCAGCGATTACAGCAGAGGTACGAGTTCTTTATTGTAAATCAGGGATAATCCTCTTTAAATTGGAGTCAATTATCCTGCTTATACAACAGACACCGACAGTGATCAAAATATATATAAACATTTTTATTTACAATGTGAGGTTGAATTAGAAAAAAAAAAGGAATGTAGGTTTTGTAACACTGATAATCGCATCCCTGTATTTATTTACTATCTGTTATGTGGCCACAAATTCAGAGCAGCGCAGTTATCAGAAAGTACACCATCTAGCCAATGAGTATATCCAAATGCTTCTCTCCAAATCAAACAGCCACAGATGAGTTTTATTAGAAAATGGACGGGAAAATTATTTCTAATGCAGTTAGTCACCTGTTATTTAGCTAATTTTGGTGAACAATAACAACAATTTTGTGCACTTGTAGTCCAGGCATGAAATAAGGACACTCATCCTTTCTTCGTCCTTCTGTTTATTTATTTCTCTCACTCAGTCTGCCTCTTTCTTTTCCCCCAACTCACTAATTACCTTTGGTTTTAAGTAGCTTCATTAACTCTGCAGTAACGATGTTGCATTGACCACGATACCTGACAGTAATTCATAATCAACACATAACACTTCCACAGTAACAGGCAACTGCCTCCAAGTTAATTATGCAGGACCATGGAGGCATATGAATTCACAGGGACATTGTTTGAATAAAATGCTTCTCTATGCTTTTTGGAATAAACATCTGTGGGAGGAAATGGCAGCAAGCCCACTTTCTGCCAAAGTAGTGAAATCAGCAGATATTCGGTGTGTTACAGTTGACTTAGTGCAGTCACTTTTTGGCTCAGCTCACCTGAGTTAAAAAAAACAACGTATTTTTCGTTTGTTTTTTCATTTAGGGGTCAAGTAAGGTCACACACTTCTCTTGATTCTACCCGTCCTCCTATATCCTCCTCCTTTTTCTTCTACTGCTATCAGTTTTAAGAAGCTCCATCTATTATGTGGTGCACGAACAAATGCATTTTAATGGAAAAACAAAATGTCTCAATGACTTTCACACACATTTTGTTTATATGAATAAAATATTATTTTTGTTCTCTATGCAAACCAGAAGCAGGGTGAGATTATTTTGAATAATAACAATAATAATAATATAAGTTGTATATGTGCTGTCACCTGTAAACTAAAATTGCACCATCAGCAAATATTTTCAGATTATTATGTTTCAACGCATTAATGTGTCCTGACTGCATGGGAAATAAGGAGTATGTTTAGCAGTTTAAATCATCATTTTGTGGGAATATTTAGTTACCATGAGTAAGATGTTTTTGCTGACACATGATCCCTCACATCCGAAATGTAATTATCTGGTCATTTAATAGGAATCAAACAAGGGAATTGTGCCTCACAGAATGACTGTGTTCATGTGGATTTTTTAAGAACACACTACTCTTTACTCCTGAGCAGGACAAGTTTATTAACCTCTATTTTACATACATGCACGATCCACACACACACACACACACAGACTGCTGTGCTCACACACCTAAGATCCACTTGCTTTGATCTGCTTTCATTTTTGTAATTATCAGTTTGTGGCATCATTTTTACATTATGACTTGGGCACTGATGAACATTCATTCAGCAGTTTGGTTTTTGCCAAACTTAAGTCTTAAAGACAGTTGGTCAACAAACTTATTGCATTTATGGGTTTTGTTTAGAACATAGAGTATCTGTATTGTACAGTTAAATATAATAAATTCTCATGGCCATGACCTAAAGACAGATGGCTACAGTAAAGGTTCAAAAGATAACTTCAATCTTCCTTCCTAGCCACAGTTTAACACAACACAAGTAGTAGTAGTTGTTTTTCTTGATGTTCACTCATAGCCTCTGAACTTCTCAGCTCCTTTCTCTTTCATAGTTGCACTCTCAAAATATGAAAATGCACACACATACACCTGCATACAACTGTTATTCAAATGATCACTGTTTGAGTTATGGGCCCTTTTCTTTTACAACAGTGAACTCTTTGAAAAGAGTCCTGACAGAGATGGAGTGCAGGAATAATTGTTTCATTGCTCCGATTGAAGCAGGCCCATCCATCAGGCTGCCATGTGTCCTACAGTGAAGGTGTACAATGTGAGGATGGGATTCTGTGATAATGGGAGTGGAGGAAATAAGTCACTGTGCATGTGGACTGCTTGGAGCTCAGTGCTGCAGTGAAATTCTTCTTCCATTGTATACAGAGACGATGAAGCAAAATGAAAAAGAAGCTTTTTTTTTAGGAGTCTGAGCTATACTTTTAAGAAGGCTACTTTACTCAACCTTGACATTTTCAAGAGAAAACCATTAGGTTTTTTGTCCCTGAAGTATTTAGACTCTCTTTAAACTGTATGGGACCTATTTGTATAGGCATCAAACTTGACTAAAGGATCATCAAGGTTACAGGAGTTTTTCAATGAAAGGTTGCAGCTGCATTCTCCAAAACAGACGAACACACTGGTGCCAACATTTGAGGTGTGTCAGTTACTATTGTACCAGATTGGGCCAGTGTATTTTCAGCCAGCACTGACTGAAAGTATTCATCAGCCAAAAGGCTCAACAAAACCAACCTCATCAGATCATAAGCTAACCCCCTTCTCATTTTAAATATATCAAAAACGCCCCCCCAACAGAGACGAGCGTCCCATCTCCACTAATTGCCTTAGATTTCCCCAATTTACAGAAAAGAGGTTTTGGTGTTAGAAGACGTGTGCATCAAATGTTAGGATAACAGAAGTGAAAGACTTGCTAACGTTAGATCTTTGTCCCCTCTTGTGTCTGTTTTAAAAGCATCACAGGTGAGCCCGGTTGGCTTTAATTATGTTGGTGTGTGCCGCTGACAGCAGGATTTTGCAGTTTGAGGTTCATAAAGTGCTAAACTGCTTGTAGATTGAACTTCTGAATGTCAGAGTTCAGGTTATTTCGCAACCGGGTACAAGACAGAGGTCAAAAATAACAGTGCCCAGGCAGTCAGACCAAATCCAAAAATCAAAAGACAGCTTATTGGCAAAAAGTGAGCAGAATGGGTGGAGATACAGCGTAGAGAGACAGGTATAAGAGGTCAGAGCGGCACAGAGACAAGATGAAGCTCAGGATTAAAAATGTATTCAGTCTAAGGCAAGACTGAGAAGAGGGATGGACTCAGACTCTGCCTATATTAACACAACGTGAGCCTATTTGTCTAACATGGATAAACAGACTAAAGCTCATATGTGAGGGTAATTGAAAAGCAGAGGAAGCAGGATAATATGTGGAGAATCTCGGAAACACTTACAGTGGGAAGAGGAAGAGGTTGCAATATTTACAATTGTATTTACAGAAAAACAACCATTTACAAATTGCAGCTTCCAACTGCATTATTTTTAGGCACTTCCAAGTCCAATACATTTTAGATTCTTATTACACTGTCACTGTGAAGCACACATCCCTTTAAGTTGGAACAACAATTTGGAGATGGTGTTTACTACACTGCCGGTCAGTCTGTCTGTCAATCTGTCTGTTCACCACTTTGGTTCAGAGCACGATACTATCTCAACAGCTACTGGCCAAAATATGGGTATAAATAGTATGTAACAGATGTGATCTTGTAACCTCTCCGTTATCTGGATTATCAGCATTAACACTTAAAGATTTGACTTCTTTTCTTGACAGTGTATCTCCAAAATGAACAGCCAACAGATTTAGAATTGTCAGTGAATATTCAAGCACCTGGGGATTGTTTTTGGTAACCCTCTTAGCTTTCCTCTAGCACCACCATCAGGCCAGACTAATCACTTCATCGTCAGGCTTCAACCAAAGAGCTTGTCAGCAGTTCGGACAGCATCTGAAACTCCTGGTCAATGCTTTTCCAACATCAGAATTGGCAAGGGCATTTCCAAAACAGAAAATCCAATAGCCATGGCCAGTTCGAGTGTGGGGTCAGAAAGTAGGCAGTATTTTTAACTTCTCTTTCAAGCTCTTTTTAAAAAAAAAAAAAAAAAAAAAAAAAAAGCCCTTCGCCAAAGAAAAGATTGGCCAAAAGGGTGCACCATTATTTGAATGCCATGATTGACGACTTTTCTCCTTACTTCAAGTGTGGCACTTCAGAATAGCTATTAACACTTTTGCCTTCAGACGTACAACATACAAACTAGTTCATTTCAAGCCTCTAGCCCCAACCTCAAGCACAAAATATCAGTTTTGTACAGAAAATCTCATAAAGGCAGATTGCCATAAAATTCATCATGTTTC